TAAAAAGGTTTTCTAAAAAAATTTGACGTCTGTCGTTCCTGCAATTCCACTAAAATCTTCTGTTGAATAGTAACTTGTTACCTTTCAACCACCCTAATCAGTAAAACTATGTGTAAATGTTCGATGACGTCACAAAATGCAAAATACCCTTTATCACATAAAGCCTTTCGTAATTAGTGACATCATCAAACATATCAAACTGTTGAAGTGAAATTGCAGTAACCACAGACATCTGATTGAAAATTGGAATGGCGCAAATTGATGCTGTCAGTGTCCCCATAACATAATACACATAATAAATTTAGATAAGAGTTGTACAATGTTTTGTACAAAGTTCTGGAATGATTGCAAGAACCTTGCAAATTTTAACTGTTTGAATTTGTATGTTTTAAGGCATTCATAAGGAACGAAATTTGCGACTTTAAAGTCAATAAGTGTCAAACCACATTTAAGAACGGACTATGGAAACTTTTTTATAAGAACATTTTTTAATAAAGAAGATTAGATGGCTGTGTTGGATTTATGAATATATAAAAGGTTAAAGCATGTCTTATGTAGGTGATTTAGTTAGGGTAGGGAGTTTGATTTTGGTCTGCTAGGCGCTAAGTGTAGAAAGAATCTGATGTTACGGCCACAGCTCCCATGAGTCTACTTTATGTCAGCCTTCATTCCCTTCCGATTGGCTTGTATTAAATTTTGTTGCTGTGATCACAAATCCTTATGACCTTGAAAGGTCATTTTTCTGCGATCTTTCCAGATCTTTCAACACAACATGATTATGAAATAATGCTTTGGAGTTCTAAATATTGATATTAAATGCATTTGGGACAAAAAAAGGATTTTAATATCAGAATTTGAAATTCAAGTACTATAAAGTATCAAATGAGTCAAAGTTATATTTGGTAGACATATGGAATGGCTAGCAAGGAATGACATGCTTATTCTTCTAGAACACTTGTAAAGAGGTTTTCTATATTTGTTTATGTGTATCAGGGACACTGATAACATCAATTAGCATCATTCCAATTTTCAATCAGTTGCTATGGTTCTGAGAATTCCATTAAGCCTAGGCCTTTTATGATGTCACATTCTCAAAGGCCCTTATATATCAATAGCAGCTTTTATGATAGTGATATCATAAATTGCTTATTTTTTGCGGAATTGCAGGAACCTCTGACCGAAAATTGGAATGGTGTAAATTGATGCTATCAGTGTTCCCGATATACATACAAAATTTAGCAATCCTCTTTATAATTCTTTAACCCAGCATCCCTGACAGAGAGTCTCTGAACCAATATTAGCTGTTTTACAAATTGCAGAGAGTCTCTGAACCAATATTAGCTGTTTTACAAATTGCAGAGAGTCTCTGAACCAATATTAGCTGTTTTGCAAATTGCAGAGAGTCTCTGAAGCAATATTAGCTGTTTTACAAATTGCAGAGAGTCTCTGAACCAATATTAGCTGTTTTGCAAATTGCAGAGAGTCTCTGAACCAATATTAGCTGTTTTGCAAATTGCTCCCAATACCCATTTTTTGATCCTAAAAAATTGGCCATTGTTGTTGAGAGACAGCTTTTACTTTTTGTACAGGTAGAGATACAAAGGGCCTGTAAACTAAAAAAAAAAAACATTCATATGGCAGATATAAAAATTAATGCAAATTAAGGTGCAAAAAATGTCTAAGAAAAATTTCATTTGAATCAGGAAATGAAAGAAAAACGATAAAATAGTCCTAAAATAAAAAAACAAAGAAAAAAGTGTGCCTTATGAACTTCAATATGATAACATAGAAATAGAAAGGTTTAAGCAGGTGTCTTATTTTTTACACCTGTCACCACCTTCCATAGTCTTTATATTATCTTATCTTTTTATATGTTTCATATTATACTTATCTGACTGTATAGTCACTACTGCATCGATTATGAAGGTTAGGTCTGTTTTGTATCAGTTAAAGGATTGTACAGAGGTTTTCTAAAATTGTTATGTGTATCAGGGACACTGATAGCATCAATTTGCACTGTTCCAATTTTCAATCAGATGTCTGTGTTTGATCACATCAGTAATCCCAAAATATGCTTGTTTCACATAAGGCCATTTGCGATAAGTGACATCATCAATCACTTAGTTTTAGAAATTTTAGAAAACTTCTTTACAATCCCTTTAATAAGACTGCCCAACCTTGTTACCTAGTCAAAACTTATCTCATTGAACACTGCATATATTCAAAATGAACAATATGTTGTTTTGTTGGTTCTGATAAGAGTTTGAAAGTTATTAAGTCCAATCTCAAGCAAACTACTAGGACATAGAACCCATATCATTTCACTTATTCAACTAAATTATGTTCAATATGATTAGACCATATGTAAACATGAACCGTAAATTAATAGATTATTTTCATGATTTATTTATTATGTTGTTTGCCTGAATAATTTAGAACCTGCTGTTTTGTAGTACTGTATGTAGAAGGACTAAGTATCTTCATATCTGGTTATCTATCAGATAACACATATTATCAGCAGGTACATTATAAGTATCAATATGCATTGTCAGTATATTTTTACATCATGTATGTATATTTATATATTATAATTCACAATGTGTAAAAATACATTGTAAATTATCTTTGTAATACATGTTTATGCATATATATTATAACATAATTTTCAAAGTGTAAAAATACATGGACATATATATTATAATTCACAATGTATTGTAAATTACGTTTGTAATACATGTATATGCATGTACATTATATTATAATTTACAATGTGTAAAAATACATTGTAAATTATCTTTGTAATACATGTATATGCATATATATTATAATATAATTTTCAAAGTGTAAAAATACATGGACATATATATTATAATATAATTTACAGTGTGTAAAAATGTATTGTAAATTATCTCTGTAATAAATGTATATGCATATATATTATAATATAATTTTCAAAGTTTAGAAATGTATTGTAAATTACCTTTGTAATACATGTATGCATATATATTATATTATAATTTACAGTGTGTAAAAATGTATTGTAAATTATCTCTGTAATACATGTATATGCATATATATTATAATATAATTTTCAAAGTGTAAAAATACATGGACATATATATTATAATTCACAATGTATTGTAAATTACGTTTGTAATACATGTATATGCATGTACATTATATTATAATTTACAATGTGTAAAAATACATTGTAAATTATCTTTGTAATACATGTATATGCATATATATTATAATATAATTTTCAAAGTGTAAAAATGTATTGTAAATTATCTCTGTAATAAATGTATATGCATATATATTATAATATAATTTTCAAAGTGTAAAAATATATTGTAAATTACCTTTGTAATACATGTATGCATATATATTATATTATAATTTACAATGTGTAAAAATGTATTGTAAATTATCTCTGTAATACATGTATATGCATATATATTATAATATAATTTTCAAAGTGTAAAAATGTATTGTAAATTATCTTTGTAATACATGTATATGCATATATATTATAATATAATTTTCAAAGTGTAGAAATGTATTGTAAATTACCTTTGTAATACATGTATGCATATATATTATATTATAATTTACAATGTGTAAAAATGTATTGTAAGTTATCTCTGTAATACATGTATATGCATATATATTATAATATAATTTTCAAAGTGTAGAAATGTATTGTAAATTACCTTTGTAATACATGTATGCATATATATTATATTATAATTTACAATGTGTAAAAATGTATTGTAAATTATCTCTGTAATACATGTATATGCATATATATTATAATATAATTTTCAAAGTGTAGAAATGTATTGTAAATTACCTTTGTAATACATGTATGCATATATATTATATTATATTATAATTTACAATGTGTAAAAATGTATTGTAAATTATCTCTGTAATACATGTATATGCATATATATTATAATATAATTTTCAAAGTGTAAAAATATATTGTAAATTATCTTTGTAATACATGTATATGCATATACATTATATTACAATTTTCAAAGTGTAAAAATGTATTGTAAATTATCTCTGTAATACATGTATATGCATATATATTATAATATAATTTTCAAGGTGTAAAAATGTATTGTAAATTATCTCTGTAATACATATATATGCATGTATATTATATTATAATTTGTAAAGTGTAGAAATACATAGCAAATTACCTTTACATTATATGCATGTGAATTATAAAGTACATGTAAATGTAAAGATATTGTAAAATACCTTTGTAATATAATGTATATTATAATGTACATTTATTGGCAGGTATTTTCATAATGGCTTTACATTTGTACCATCAAAAGTAGGCCAAAATACATATATGACATATACATGTGTCTAATCTTGGCATTAGGAATGTAGGGTCACAATGTTATTAGCATAAACATGTACATTATAAAAGTGTAAAGATGCATTTGAAGTTACATTTACATGATACAAGTTTTACAGTTAATGCTTGATATGTATCACATAATATATAGTACACATGATAGGATACAAGTGTAATCATGATAGGACTATTAGTGAATTATCATTATCTGGTTATCTGTTAAAGGGATAGTTACGCCATTTTGAGGCATAGATTTGAGCGTTGTAAATATGGACATAATCTTCAGAACTAGAAATGGAAGAAAATCGCTTAATTCCTTTAATAAACTTCAAACTAGGAATTTTAAACACTATTTCTATATATGTCTTTTGTATCACAAGTCGTCATTTTAACATTCAAACACAGATAATTCTGGACACATGGATTTGAAGGCTCAAATTTCGACGATGGACTGTAAAGTGTGAACACTTACTAATTGGATAAGCTAAAAAATTCCTATTATTGAGATGAAGATTCGATTGGTCAAAACAATGGCGCATCTATCCCTTTAAGAATGTAATTTGACATCTTTATTGCCAAGTACATTTACATATTTACATTATACAGATGTAAATTGACATTGTCAAGTACTCTTACATGATATAATTATTCCACTTGCATTGGCATTTACATGCTTTGATGAGTTTGCATTCATATTGGCATTTACATGCTTTGATGAGTTTATGTTTTTATCGGCATTTACATGATATGATGAGTTTATATTTATATTGGCAATTACATGATATGATGAGTTTACTTTCATATTGACATTTACATGATATGACGAGTTTATGTTTATATTGGCAATTACATGATATGATGAGTTTACTTTCGTATTGGCAATTACATGATATGATGAGTTTACTTTCATATGGGCAATTACATGATATGATGAGTTTATGTTTATATTGGCAATTACATGATATGATGAGTTTATGTTTATATTGGCAATTACGTGATATGATGATTTTGTTTTCATTTGTATAAGCATTTTTATGATATGATGAGTTTATATTCATTTTGACATTTACATGATATGATGAGTTTACTTTAGTATTGGCAATTACATGATATGAGTTTATATTCATATTGGCATTTACATGATATAATGAGTTTTCATTCATATTGGCATTTACATGGTGTTTTATTTGAAAAATTTTATTGAAAAATAAAGAAATTTCGTTGAAAAGTATAGAAATTTCATTGAAAAATGTAGGAATTTTTGTTGAAAAATATTGAAATGTTATTAAAAAATATAGAAATTTAATTGAAAAATATAGAAAATTGATTGAAAAATATAGAAATTTGATTGAAAAATATAGAAATTCGATTGAAAAATATAGAAATTTGATTGAAAAATATAGAAATTTGATTGAAAAATATAGAAATTCGATTGAAAAATATAGAAATTTGATTGAAAAATATAGAAATTCGATTGAAAAATATAGAAATTTGATTGAAAAATAATATAGAAATTTCATAAAAAAAATATAGAAATTTGATTGAAAAATGTAGAAATTTCATTGAAAAATACATAATTATCATAGCATATACATGTACATAATTATATTCTGCTGTAATGTTAGTCAGTAAACAAAGAAGTTAAATGGATACAAAGTCTAATAATGAAATTGTTTTAAACTGATATAGATATGACTCAGTAGAGAAAAACCTAGTTATGTGTTACTAAAACATCTATAATGTAAATAGGCTACCTGTAGTCTTATACCTGTATTTTTTTTATATAAATATATTATATGTGTTTTACTACTTCTCTGACCTTCCTTCTTTCTTTTCTTGTCAAGTACATTAGTATGAATTTCTGTTTTGATATAATATATCTTTGGATTTTTTAAATCCAGTTTCCTCCTGTCATCTAGTCGTTTGGAACAGACAATAAACCGAGGCTCCGTTAAAAATCCCTCCACAGTTGGAAATCGAAAAAAGAGTAGGCTAATGCCACTGTCCTTGCAAAATTTTCTTGCCCATCTTCAATCTTCATCTTCATCCAGTAGGTACAGAAAAGTAGGACGTAAAACTCCATTCATTTCATTTCATTTTGCTTAAATTTTCTAATTTCACCATTAGTGATGGAGATTATCTCAAATACTAAAGTACTTATCTCTGTGAATGGTTTTGCTATCATTAGATTTAGTATCTTAAATTTTTAGATCTGTTTGAGATTGCTTTCTTGGAAATGATGAGTTAATGTAATAATTTGATTAAACCGTTCAACATTTTCTGCCAGACATGAATGGTAAATGGAAATCTTTAACATCCCCTTTTGATTTTAAAATATTTGAAAGATATGGAATATAGAATCCCATGTACATCATTAAACATGAATTTGCATCAGCGATAATATTGTTGCATTGTGTGTCATTTGGAGACACAGTCAGACATGAATGGCAAGTGCATTCAAGTTGTTAATAATGAGGCTCCCATACAATATAATACAATATAATATATAGGACCTCAAAACTTGAATATTGACTGACTTAATAACCAGTTTATTGAAATAAAACTAAGTTTATTTGACCTTGCTAATTCATAAATAACTTTAAACTTTACATATATACATATATATATAAATACAGCAGTGTATTAATATTGGTCTATATTCACCTCTATTATAATATACTATATAATTTTTTTCTTAGAGGACCAGAAACCATAAAATATATTGTGAAAAGGCCTTCTATCTATTCTGTTGAAGATGCAACACAAAACACTTAAAATCTTGACTTTGAGGACAAAAATTCCGAAACTTTGATATGAAAATATTGGAAATGCATTATATTCTGTCAAAGATGCAACATGCAACTAAGCAATGAACATAATGCAAAAGAAAACCAATCTGATCTAATGTAGATGTAGATTTGTTTTGTGTTTTTTAGCAGGTTACTAGCCCTGTCATCCTTGATCTGACAAGATTCTTATTTGAATCATGTTCAGTTGAATTTAGCAAACAAGTGTCAAAAGATAAGCATTTTCATCAGATTGAAAGAAAACTTTGAGGGGAAAAAAATATCAACATTAGCCATAGGATATTATTTTTGGACCTGGGACATTGTAAAACCAACACATGTGTTTTCTGCTTTCTTCAATGTTCCTAAACAAGCAATTCATGCAAAATAGTTATGGTTGTATTTCTTAAATAATAATACTGATAATAATAATATAATTCTTTATTTTTACAAAATATTGCACAATTTACAAGAATGTAAAACACAAAATTACAAATATACAAACGATAGCTCATAGTAGTGGCAATTCTTGTTCAAGTTGATTTGTGAATAAGTGTTTCGGCAAGTAAATGAAATAGTGTATACTGGTATATGATGAATAATATAATTGCATTCTATGATAGCAGAAATTTCAACTTGAAATAGACTAGAATTTGTTTACATTTATCAATATAGACTTTATAATGTTGTTATGTCCAAAAATAGAAAAAAAATTTCTGAAATATTATGATATACTCAAACAAAAACATGATATACGCTCTCAAGGTTATATAAAATCTCAAGGATATTTGGAAAGGTAATGTAATGTACTGAAATAGGAAGCTTTTCTAGCTTGAAATTGCATTTTTGGAAAACAAATATATTCATACAAGTTTATTATGAATTTAGTAGTATTTTTGTTCAAAAATTTAAAACTATGCATAATTTTATGCAATATGAGTATATTGATATGTTATCAAAATTTGACACAAAATGACAATCAAATATCAGCAGACAATATAAGCACAGCAATGCAAAAATTAGCGCAATTTTTCAAAAAAAATTTTTTACTTTTGTTTGGCGCAGTTAGGGTGTTATAGTAGGCCCATGTACCTTTTGTTTATGGCACAATGTTACTAATTTATATTTTGTTAAAAATTATTCCAATTGTCTAAAATGCTGTCTATACACTTTTGACTGCAATTCTGCCACTTTTGTGCATTGCTTAACAATTTTTGATACTAGTTGAAACTCTACTGGTCACATACATAATTGTATATGTGGAAATGCCATGAACGTCTTACTTTTCTGCACCATATGGGCTAATGAAGACGGGCAATGCTATGCAGGGTGCAATGAGGGAAATTTTTCCAGGACAGTGAGAAACTGCCCGGGGGTCTTTAATGTGCACAGCCTGTAGCACTATACATGTCGAGCAGTCGCTGGGCAGTTGCTACCAATGGACATCTCAAAACATTAACGCCATACACTTCATGTATAAAAATTGGGTTCAGGGTGTGAAACTGGTTATTTTACTGACTGTAGTCTATTGAGTGAATTGCACAATGAAAGTCAATATATCAGTCTGTAGTCATAAGTAAAGTATTTAATGAATGTACAAGTTGAAATTATCTTTCAAACTATAGAAACATGTAGGAAATATTTGACTTACAAGTAAAATGTATAGTCTGTTGAAAGGTGAAGTGTAATGTGTCTGGTATAATCTAGCATTCCTGTCTGGCATCCATAACTATTTATACTTCTGCTTCCATCAAAATTGTAAAATGATGTCTGACAATCAATTTTCTTGTAAGAACTATCAAAAAGTTTTGATAAGTAACAAGTTTCATCACATAATGGAACTCAATGCAAGGTTTTATACCTATGACTGTAGCAAACTCACATTGCAAATGTTATGATATTGTGCAAAGAAATGAAATATGTTTTCAGTGCGCATTGCGTAAGTTCAGTGAGGTGTATTGTGCAAGATTATTGTTCTATCAAAACAAAAAAAAAAAATGTATGGTTTGAAGTCTGATAACAGCATTCAGCAATTGAGACATATAGACACAGCTTTTGAGAACAACAATCACTTGTTAAAGTTTAATGCAACATTTCGACATGTTTCTCTCATCGTCCTTAGGCACAGAATGATGAAATGCCTGTCACTTTTCATCATTCTTTGCCTGAGCACGACAGAAAATAGTTATAGAACTCGTTCTTGTTTAGCTTGTAAAAGGCACGCTTCTTGCTGTATTTTGACAAAACTTGGTAACATTGTTCAGTATCACCCCAAAAAGTTCAAAAGAAGTGTATGACTGAAGGTTGAATATTTCATACTGGTAATTGTGGCTGTTCTGCCAAATATGTTTTATTCAAAATCAGAGCTGCCAGTCGGTGTATATTACCTTGCCTGGCAAGCTATCTTTATCATTCTGTGTCTGAGTGTGTTTCTAAACTGGCTGTCCTTATGGGGCGTGTGTATTTGAAACAGGAGCTCTGGTCAAATTGATCATGGAAATTCGAGCTTTTTGACAAATACAGATTGGCTGAATTGTGAATTCTGATAGTCACAGTGTATCGTCTCTAATGATATGAAAATTCCAACAGAGTGACAAGTGGAATAAAAAGTTTGTAGAAAGGAATGATTATTGATTTTTCTAATGTTTGATTGTAGTGTAAGTTGTAGGTTAGAGTCTATAGAAATATTCTAATGATATAGAGACTGACTGAGTAATAAGAATAATGAATCCTGTGTCATAAATATAGCTACATCTCTAACAGATAATCATATTGAACTAGTTTCTAAATAATATACTCTGGTATTCGTCTCATACATTCTCTGTTTTGATTAGTCAGAAATATAGGAGGAATATGGTACTTGACTTTGATATTTCTGGCCAGTTAGAGTCAGAAAAACAGTTTTTTGTTTTAAATTTTTATGATCTTACAGATAATCATATTGAACTAGTTTCTAAATAATATACTCTGGTATTTGTCTCATACATTCTCTGTTTTGATTAGTCAGAAATATAGGAGGAATATGGTACTTGACTTTGATATTTCTGGCCAGTTAGAGTCAGAAAAACAGTTTTTTGTTTTAAATTTTTATGATCTTACAGATAATCATATTGAACTAGTTTCTAAATAATATACTCTGGTATTCGTCTCATACATTCTCTACTTTGATTAGTCAGAAATAGTGACAGATATCAGCTAGCAAGGGTCAGAAAAACTGATAATCACATATTGAACTGGTTTCTAAATAACATACTCTGGTATTAGTCTGATGCTAGTGAGAGTTTGTAAAGTAACCAAGTTTTGAGGTTTTTCCTTTTAATTCAGTATTTGTAACCAGGACAGCCTTGATAGTAAACAGAAGTGGCGGCGCCAGCCATCTCAGACTGGGGGTACAAATAGGGGGCAGACTGACTCAATGGGGAGACAACTGCTGAGGCTGAATTCGGATTTTGGCTACTCTGTGGTGGTATCATAGTCGCATGCCTCTCATAGAGCGTCTTAGAGGGTTCTCTCAAGAAAATTTGAATTGATTTTGAGCATTTTGACACTTATTTTGGGGGAAAAAGGTAGACATTTAGATTTGTTGAAAATAAGGTGGGGGTACAATTGGGGGTCTCTATGTCAAGTCATTTTTCCATTTCTAAACCTTTTTTACTATTTGTAACCTTGGTTGTTTTGGCATTCTGTCTGTTGGCCTGTAGACCTTTGTCATCCTTGAGTAAGATAAAGAACTA